GGGAAAAAGGGGGAGGGGGCCTGGAGCTTTGTGCTGGGGCCTCGAATCTTCTAAGCTGGAATAGAAGCAAACTCCTCGGGCCTTGATCCCTTGTCCTATCCCACGCTCAGCTGACTGAGGGACCTGGCCGGGGCCACAGCCACACTTGCCACACCCCACCCCACACAACCTCCTCCCTGTAGGTTCATCTGGGAGAGACTGGTCCATACTGGGTGGGACTCTGGAGGCTAGTCTGATGGCTCCTTTGCCTCCAGTGTCCTGAACTCAGACCACAGGCTTTAAGCCAGGTAGACAGGAAGAGCCACAAGGTCTTGAACAAATCCTGAGTCCTTGTCTGTGCCATAGGCACTTCCAGTTCTCAGACAGGACCTGGAAGTTGAGAGAAGGTGCCGTCCTCAGCGTTGAAGAGCCAGGGAAGGACTGAACCCCATCCAAACAAGCTCCCTGCTCCTCTTTTCTCTCGTCATTATTTTTTTGTTGTTGTGAGATAATACTTGTTTTGAGACAGAATCAACTCTAAGTAGCTAAGGATGACCCTGAACTTCTGATCCTCCTTCCTCTACCTCCTGAGAGCTAGCATTACAAGTGTGTACCATCCTACCACCATACCCAGTTTTTGTTGAACCCAGGGCCTTATGCATATTAAGCAAGCATTCCAGCAACTGGTTTATAGCCAATCTTTTTTGTTTTTTTACTTTCATTATTCTCCATTTTAATTTATTATTCTCTACTTTCCTACAAGAAAACTATAATCTTTATAAAGATCCGAGAAAATGTAATAGTCGTGATAGGAAAAAAACGCAGTTCCGAGCCGGGCCTGGTTGCAAACATGGTCCTTTCAGCACTAGGAAAAAGGAAGTGGGGGGTCAGGAGTTCAAGGCCAGCTTCGTCTAGCATAGGCAAAGCAGCCTGCGGTACATTAGACCCTGCCTCAAAAAGACAAACACAAGGGAAGTTTGTTTTTGTCTTTTTGATCTGCTAGCATCACACAGTGGCAAAGCACTGGCTGTGTCAACCTGACGACCGGAGTTCAGTCTGCGGCCACATGGTGGAAGGAGAGGCCCAGCTCCTACAAGTTGTCCTCTGACCTCCAAATGAGGGCAGTAGTACGTGCACACACCACACATACTCATGTGCAAGCATGCGTGTGCGTGAAAACACACACACACACACACACACACACACACACACACACACACACAGCAAATAAATAAAATTTTACCTCTTAGAGCTTTAACAATAATTAAAAGTCACTTTGTCTGGTTGGGTATGGTGACACACGCCTTTAATCCCAGCACTAAGGAGGCAGAGGCAGACGGATCTCTGTGAGTTCAAGGTCAGCCTGCTGGTCTATGTAGTTAATTCCAGGCTACCAGAGTTGCATGGTGAGACATTTTTCTTGTCTCAAAAAAGAAAAAAAGAAGTGTCGTCCTGGTTTGAATTACCTCCTGAATGCTGGGACTGTAGGCTTTGTCACTCACTATACCTGGCTAATGTGTTCGGTTGATGCTGGGATCTAACCCAGGACCTCAGGCATGCTAGCTGGGCACTCTCCCAACTGAGCCACATCCTCAGGCCCCAGCTTCCTCATTCAAAGTACTCAGCTTGTTGGACTAGCAGTGTTCTCATAGGTGGTTGGCTGTGATCCCTGTCCACTCCTGGGAGTGTGGCGTTAAACACGATGGCGAGAATATGGGCATTGCCACCCTCTCTCTCTGCTGGTCTGCACATGGTAGTCCTATCCTGAACCTGCCCCCACCGCATCTCTGTGTTATTCACGTTGACTCATCCTGCCGCTCTCAGTTGAAATACCACCTCCTGCACCTCATCCTCCCCAGCTGGCCTCATTGGGCAATGTGTTCCTGCACTCTGCCTGTCTCCCATGCAGGTACAAAGGGTACTGAACTGCCATTCAATCCCCCGTCTGTGTGCCACGGCCCCGCAGTCACCGCCGCAGGACTTACCCCATTATGGCTGTACCTCCCATCCCATCAGTCAGCCCAGCAGAGGAAGAGATCGTCAAAGTGAGGAGGGAGGGAGAGAAAATGAAATGAAATGAATGAATGAATGAATGCAGAGGGGATGTCTCGGTTCTGATGGTGCCTGCTTCCATTGTTTCCCAATTCAAGCAAATGTTTACTATGGTGGTATAGCTCTGTGGTAGAACTCTTGCCTAGTGTTCATAATGCCCCAAGTTTCACATATAGCACATAACACACACACACACACACACACACACACACACACACACACACACCATGGACACCACCACACAATCACTTGTTCTCGGCATCTTCATCAGCTGCGGTTCTCTGTTGCAAAGAAAAGTTTCTTTGACAAGGAGAGAGAGCTGCACTTATCCGTGGGGAGAAGGATAAATATTTAGAATGCAGTTGGAAATTCTGCTGGTTTAGTAAAAGGCAGTTGTAGACTCTCCTCAACGGTCTATGACCTCACTAGCCTGAGGTCGCTGGCTAGGTTTCCAGAAAGCTATTGCTTCCGCCAAGATATGTGTGCTACTACTGCGCCCTTAGTGTTAACAGTCCTCAGGCATCAGAGCTGGATAGGACTGTTGGTTTCTTCCCTCCCTTGGAAGCTTTCATGGGACCTTCTGGTACCATGAAAGTTACTTCTCAGGGAGGAGGATTTCGTGTCAGACTTAGCTTGGATATTTTGGGTCCTGTGTCCAAAGTGCAAATAGTGCCCTCAGAATAGTGACTTACCTTCAACCCCTTGGAAGCAACCAAGGGCAAAGGCTATAGCCTACAATGTTTTAGGAGTCTCTGGGACTACCCTGACCAACAACTCGGAAGGAGCTTCTCAAGCTTAGTATTGGGGTATTTGTTAGATCGTCTATGACTCTTGGGATAGCATTGTCAGACCAGGTGGGAAATTTTCATTTAAACTATGTATGTATATATGTATGTGTGTAGATACATAGACTTATATGCAATTTTAGATAAATAGAAAATATGATTCTTTATTACTGATTTTAGATAGCCTTACCATTACTGTGTCCTCCTCACTCTCTCTCCATCTTTATTGTTTGTTTGAGACAGAGTTTCTCTGTTTTGTTCTGACTGCCCTGGAGTTCACTATGTAGACCAGGATGGTCTCGAATTCACAGACATCCTTCTGTTTCTGCCTGCCAAGTACTGGGAGGAAGGGCATGGGCTGCCATTCCTGGCCTTTCTCTCTTTAGCCAGGGTTTCATGGGGCTCAGGTTGGCTTTGAACTCTTGATCCTCCTGCCTCCACCTTGGAAATGCTGGAATTACCGGCTTGTGCCACCATAAAGGAATGGGGGTGGGGGTGGGGGGTGGCGTAATAAGGGTTTGTCCACCCCTCACCTCCATTCACCTGGGGAATTGGCAGCAGATATTTACCTGATGCAGAAAACACCAGTCTAGCTTCTCCGGGTGGGGTGCTTTTGCACGGAGAGACCCAAAGTTGTTCTGAAAAACAGGCCCATGTTTAGGATGCCACCGTGGGGGAGGGAGGGCATTCCTTCTTGCTGGGGACAACCGGACAGTCCCTGAGCCCCCCTCATTCTCGATGAAGTTCCCATGTTCTGGGCTTCCCTGTCCCCACTGTGCCGTGCCCCACCCCCGTCTCTATGTCTAGGCATCGATTGGCAGCCTTGGGTCCTGTTACTGGGCTGAACTCATTGAGCTGAACGGTCCCTGCCCCTTCCTCTTCCTCTCGAGGAGACATCTTGCCAGTCTGTCTCTTCTCTGAGAGCTACTCCGGTTCTCTAACACCCTTCAGTACCTGTGAGTCGTCCCTCTTCTCTGAATCTAACTCCCCTCACCCTCTCTCCCTTCTCCCTCACTCCAGGAGCTGACTCTCTGGAGACTTGTTGTCATGCCCACGGGTCTGCAGTAATTCAATCAAAAGGTGCCTGTAAGCACTTAGAGAAGAAGGTCAGGGGAAGGGAGGGCCCGAGGCTTTTCTCCTCCCCTAGCCAGACTCCTCTTCAGATTCTTTGAGATTCAGGATGCTGGCCACACCTTAGGCAGGTCCTCTGAAACCCGGGGGGCCCGCTGCAGTCTTTCCTAATGGGGTTCAGAGCTGCTTTCTCGCCCTGCGGACCTTGCTCTCTCCCACCACCGACCCCTCCCCTCTTTGATGGCACATTCAAACAGATACCATCATTGGGGTCTGGGCCAAGGCGAGAACAGCAGGGCTACTTCTGTTGCGGGCAAAGAAATTGGGCAGAGCCAGGATGATTACAGTCCTAGATACGGAGTCGAGCACCTGGGGGAAGGGAGGAATCCAAGCATCAAAGGGCTCTGATGAATGGCTGAGCTTGTTCATTTCCGTCCAGACTCAGCCGCTATCCCGCAACGTGACCTTGAGCAGGGCATCACGGCTTCTCCTGAGTTTCCCCCTCCACGTAAAAGGTATTAGGGAGGTGTCTTGTGTGCTGGTAGGTGCACACACAGGCAGGAGTGGAGCTGGAAAATAATTTTGCACACCTTGGGGGTTCTCTAAGGGCCCCACAAAGGTCGGCGGACCCAGCAGCAGCGGCTGTGGTGCCTTCCTGCTGTGCAACCAATCCAATCATATGTCCATCCTTCTATGGACGCCTTAATCACCCCACAACCCCAGAATGATGGGGGAGGGCGTCCTAGCTAGCCTAGTGGCCTAGGAGACCCTGAGCGCTGAGTTCTAGGCCAGGCTCTCGCTGTCGTGCGAGCGAGAAGGGGGCGGGGGTGACGCTCAGCCCAAACCCTCCTCTGGGTGGAGACTGAAATGTCTGACTTTTAAGCATCACTTCGAAGTTTACCGCTGCGAGAGTCCAGGCGAGGAAAGTGACCCGCCACTGATCCACCCAAAATTTGGGGTGATGCCCAGATAGGGCCAACCTGGGAGACGGAGCGGGAACCCGAGGCTCTTGGGGGGACACGCTTCTTGGTGGAGGGCAGGGCCGACTGAGGACATGCAAGCCTCGGATTGGCTGAGCTGCCCATGGCCCCGCCCACGCACGCGCTATAAGTTGCTGGGCGGCGCGTGCGGCCTGGGTGTGGGCTCTGCGGCCGCCTCTCCCTCGTCCCGTGCTCCGCGTCTCCGGTCCCTGCGTACCGACCGCCGGGGGCCGCCGCGGGGCGGGGGATGCCGGGCTGCCGCATCAGCGCCTGTGGCCCAGGGGCCCAGGAAGGGACGGCAGAACCGGGGTCCCCCCCGCCGCCACCCCGGGAGCCCCTGCCGTCCCTCCAGCCCCCGCCCCCATCGCCGACCTCGACCCCGACACCCACTCAGTCACCGCCGTTGCCCGAGGCGGCGGAGACACCGGCGGAAGGGCAGGAGCTGCAGCGCTGGCGCCAGGGTGCTAGCGGGGGCCCCGGGGGCGCCGGACCGGCGGGGGGCGCGGGCGCGGCGGCAGGGGCGGGGGGCCGCGCGCTGGAGCTGGCCGAAGCGCGGCGGCGACTGCTGGAAGTGGAGGGCCGCCGGCGCCTGGTGTCGGAGCTGGAGAGCCGGGTGCTGCAGCTGCACCGAGTCTTCTTGGCTGCCGAGCTGCGCCTGGCGCACCGAGCCGAGAGCCTGAGCCGCCTGAGCGGCGGCGTGGCCCAGGCCGAGCTCTACCTGGCGGCGCACGGGTCGCGTCTCAAGAAGGGCGCGCGCCGCGGCCGCCGGGGTCGGCCCCCCGCGCTGCTGGCCTCGGCGCTCGGCCTGGGGAGCTGCGTGCCCTGGGGCGCGGGGCGGCTGCGGCGCGGCCACTGCCCCGAGCCCGACTCGCCCTTCCGCCGCAGCCCGCCCCGCGGCCCCGCCTCCCCCCAGCGCTGACCTCCGAACCCCGGACCCCTGGGCTCCCGAGACAGGCGGAAGGACGGAAGGACCGACAGGTCTGGGTGCTGGCTAGATGGACGGCGTCATCTACGCGGAGGAGACAGTCGGGGGGCCGGGGGGCCCTGAAAATGAGACTGAGGTGAGGTGGTGTTGACGGGTGCTCTCTGGGGTACGGTGTGTCAGTGTCGAGGGGTGCAGTGCCCGGGATCTCCCATCTCTGGGGCCCTGATAGAACTGTCCGTTTTGTCGTGGCTTCTTCTCTCATGCCGGGTTAGATGGCAGTGCCCAGTCCCCTTACGGAGCGGAACTAGTGGAGGGTGGTAGGCTTCAGGAAGGATTGGGTGGCAAACTTTAGCCCGCTGGAGCCTGCTGTAATATCGCAGCATCTGCCACCCTCACCTGCGCTTGTGTGGCCTCTCCTGGGTCCCCTGGGACCGCAAGTGAAGTCCTGCCCTTGAAGCTGCTGGCTTCCACACAGCTCAGCTCCACCTCTTTGGGGAGGGAAGAATAAGGCCCCAGGATGGAAGAAGGGGCTGCCTCAGGGCTGTATGACCGGATTCTCCTCCTCTGAGCCCCTGTCTCCCATTGGAGGACGACAGAATCCCATAGAGGTTGAAGATTTGTACCCATCGTATGTAGGCCTCTCTGTTTCTAGGAAACAGCTTTTCTCATACTCCTAATAATTTTGTTACCTGTGTTTGTAGCCTGATGGAGATGACCAGAATGGAATGTTTATCACCTGCTCACCTAGCAGCCCTCCCCAACGTATCTCTAAGATGGCTCTGCCAGGGATGGAGCCAGGTGACACTCTTTAACAGCCCCAAGGGGGCAGGCATGGCATCAGCATCCAGAAAGGGGGGCCTTAAAGGGCCAGCCTGGAAATGCCACCTGCTTCTTCCTGACGAGATGCCCTTCAGGCCCCCATTCCTCTGTCCCTACCCATTGGCCAGGCCTCAGCCTTGCTCCCTGCATCTGGTGGCAGCCCCCTCGTCAGTGGTAACGTGGGTATATCTGCCTCTCAGGAGAGCTGTGGGGAGGCTACCACGGGGCATAGGATTTTTTTTTCCCCCACTGTAAGTCATGGTAGGATACTTCACTCATTTAAATCACACATACAGATGGGTGCTGCCTGGTCTCGGGAGCTAATTTAAAGTCTTCATTTTACCGGGCGGTGGTGGCACACGCCTTTAATCCCAGCACTCGGGAGGCAGAGGGAGGCGGATCTCTGTGAGTTCGAGGCCAGCCTGGTCTACAGAGCGAGATCCAGGAAAGGCGCAAAGCTACACAGAGAAACCCTGTCTCGGAAAACCAAAAAAAAAAAAAAAAAAAAAGAAAGTCTTCATTTTATAGAATGGAAAAGGGATTTCTCAAGGTCACATGCCAGAGAGAGCGAGGGAGCCTGATCCTAGGCCTGTGTGTGTGTCCTTTTCATTGTATTAGGGACAGTTAGGGAGAGCTGACCTCTATTCCCTGTCTACAGCGGCCCAAAGCAAGGCTGCCCCCTCTCTGAGTCATTCTCTGAATATTGTCCCTCCTGTCAGGCTTGAGAAGGGAGTGAAGGAGGAAGATGTCAGAGTCACAGCACTTTAGTCCTGCCATTCAGGTATATTGTAATAGGCAGGGGTCCTCAGCTGACCCTACCCCCGTCAGGCCTTCCCCTCCAAACCTAACAGACTCCTGGCTGGGACCAGTGTTGTAGGACTCTGGCATGTCCCGGCCTCCCCAGATAGGAGGACTTATTGAGGCCTCTCAGGTTATCTAGAGTGCTGAGGTCCAGTGAACCCAGGACTTCCTGGAGGTGATATAGCCGGTGTTCAGGCTGCGGCGCTGGACTGCCGCCAGGACCGCCCAGTTTCTGGTCTGCAGGGATGGCAGCGGATCTGGAGACGCTTTTAGCTAATGGCAGAGAGTGCTTTCTGCCATCACAGTCTCTGGGAGTCACTGTAATCAGCTTTGACCTGATTTAGAGGTGGGGTGGGTGGATACATAGAGAGACACTTGCTGGAGAAGGTGGATGGGTAGGTGGGGGCACAGGCAGCCATGGCCCCTCCCTCCACTCCCCTTCCAGATGCCAGGCTCCCCCCCCCCAAAAAAAAAATTATGAGCCAAGGCACACAGAGCTCACTGACTGGAACCTCAGGTTGTATGTCTGCTGTGTACTTTTCAACAATTAAAGTCACCTTCTCAGCCTGCCTGGCCGTCCTAGGGCCCTGTGTACGTTCCAAGGTCTGACTCCAATCTCTCCTCACCTAGCACACCGATTCCACTTACTTCGTGGGTTCAGGAGGAAACATGCAGCAGAGGGTCTCCACTTTAAAGGGCTTGCTTTCCAGACCTCCTCCAGCAACCTTTCCCTGGATGTCACCATCCCAGGGGACCTAATTGGGGCCCAGATTACTTTCTAATTTTATTTTTTGAGACAGGTTTGCCTTAACCTCCATAAATAGCTGAGGATCACTTTGAACTTTTTTTTGACTTTTCAAGACAGTGTTTCTCTGTGTAGCTTCGCACCTTTCTTGGAACTCACTCTGTAGCCCAGGCTGGCCTCGAACTCACAGAGAATCACCTGGCTTTGCCTCCCCAGTGCTGGGATTAAAGCCGTGCACCACTGCCACCTAGCGACTTTGAACTTTTTCTTTCTTTTTTCTAGACAAGGTTTCTCTGTGTAGCTTTGCACCTTTCCTGGAACTCACTTTGTAGCCCAGGCGGGCCTCAAACTCACAGAGATCCACCTGCCTCTGCCTCCTGAGTGCTGGGATTAAAGGCGTTCATTACTTATTTGTGGGTGGGTGAGGGGCATGCCTGTGCCAGAGTGCTGTGTTGAGGTCAGAGGAAAACTTGCAGGCATCCATTCTGTCTTCCACCAAGTGGGTCCCAGAGGTTGAACTCAGGTGGTCAGACCTGGCGGAGGCATCTTTACTTGCTGAACTACCTGTCTGGTCCCAACTGTGAACTTCCGATCTCTTGCCTCCACACCTCAAATGATGGGGTTTCAGGCGCATACCCCACCATGCTGTATTTATGTAGTGTTGATGTTGGACCCAGGGCCTAGTCTAAGAAGGGCAGGCACTGTGTCGACTGAGCTACATCCCCAGCCCCTGGAAATTGCGTTTTAGAGTCTGGCTAATATTACTCTACCCCTGAGCAGAAAGCACTCTTTTTCACATGACTTCCCAACTTCTTGAACACTTTTTTTTTTTTTTTTTTGGTGAGACAAGGTTTCACTGTGTAGCTCTGGCTAAATACTTTCTTGATGGCCCCAAGCCTGCAGACTGGGCGAGTTCAGGGACCCTGGGGATCTGTGCAATGAGGACACTATGTCAACCAGTGAATCTGGGTGCTCAGTAAACAGATAGGAGAGGAACATAGCCCCTTTGCTTCTTGGCTGGTCCCAGCAGCTGCCATAGCAGTGCCACCAGAGGGCAGTGTGGAGCTGCTCTGTGAGAGTTGGGGGCGTGGCCTGGAGCGTGTTCTGTTTCGGGTGCCCAGTCCTCAATTATCCCCCTCCCTGTGGTCCTGGGGCTTGCTGGCTTCGGGCTGTAAGGGTCTGCAGAATAAGCAGTGATGGCTCCCAGCGTGAGGAGGCTGGGGTTCTCTGATCTGCATCCATCACCCCTGGGAGCACAACTCTAGAAGAGGCTCAGAGGGGACCCTGACTTCAAGGAGAGAATCCAGTAGGAAAGACTTCTTGGAAAGAGGCTTCCACTGTTGACTGTCCCCACCCAGTCAGTTCTGTATTTACAGATTTGTTACGCTGATGACAGAACTGGATTCTGCCACCACCCAACAACCAAGGTGGCTGAAGTGACAGGTCTAGACTCAGGTGTCCCATTGGGCAGCGTCTTGTGCCGACGGCTTGATTCCATGGGAACCACTCAGGTGCCCTGGCGGCTCAGCTAGAGAGACTCTAGGCGGGGGAGGAAGTGTTTGGGAAATGTGGGAAATCCCCAGCCTATTTCTTCCCCCATTATTCCTTGACTACACCCTGGTCAGAAGTGATGAGAGAAGAGAACCCTTAGTTCTGGGATAAATGAACCACTTCCTTCACACTGGGCGCCATGCTAAGCATTCTATACCCATTGTTCACATTCTCTCAAACACTCAGCAAAGCAAGACTCTTATCCCCATGGCCACCGATGAGTCTGAGGGCCAAGGTGGGCAGATGGCTTCCTCAAAGGTGTAGAACCTGTAAGTTCAGTGGGCTAATGACAGCACCATTTGGGGAGACTTCTGAGTTCTCGTTTCTAATGGGTCCAGTCCTGGGAGAGAGGTATAAGTTGCTGGAGAGGTGGCGAAGTGTGTCTTGTACCCCGTCCCCCAGGACTGGACACACCCTTGGTAGGTTGTCTGGGTTCTGGGGGTGAGTCAAGCTGACTCAACATACCTGGCTTATGGCAAGGGTGGGCCAAGGATGTTCAGGGCTGTATGCACGGCTGAGGATTGCCTCCAGCTGTCTCCCCTCCCTGAAGACCTGGCAGGATGTGTGGTGCCAAGGGAGCAAAGAGCCTGGGTGGCAGGAGAGGAGGATGACATGTTCTATGACAGGCAGAAGGGCCCAAAGCAGAACAAAACAGACCTGAAATTTGGTCCTGGGTGAAATGAATTGTCTCAGCTTGGGGCAATGACTTTCCCTTTTTAAGTCTTTTGTTTTTTGTTTTGTTTTGTTTTTGGAGCCCTACCACTGAGCTAAATCCCCAACCCCTTTTTTGAGACAGGGTTTCTCTGTGTAGCCTTGGCTGTCCTGTAACTTGCTCTATAGACCAGGCTAGCCTTGAACTCTTATCTGCCTGCCTCTATCTCCCTAGTGCTGGGATTAAAGGTGTGGATGATCACCTTCTGGCTTTAAATCTTTTTTTTTTTTAATTTTTATTTTAAATTTTGTGTGTGCATGTGTGCGTGTGCGCGTGCAGGTGCCCTTGGGGGACACAAGTGTGGGGTCCCCCTGGAACTGAAGTTACAGGCATTTGTAGGCTGTTTGATGTGGGTGCTGGGAACTGAACTTACATCCTATACAAGAGCAGTACATGCTCTTACCCTCCATGCTCTTACCCTCCGAGCCATCTCCCCAGCTCAAGGAACACTAATGGAGAGCTAACTTCTGGGTATAACAAGTCCTACTCAGTGCCTCATAGTGGGGCTGTGAACGGTTGAACCACTCTGCCTAGGACAGGAGAGAACACCGAAGAGAACATTCCATCAGAAGAGCAACGCGGCCTTGGTGGCACCAGAGCAGGGGTTCTCAACCTATGGGTCTCGACTCCCTTAGGGGTTGCCTAAGACCATCGGAAAACAGATACGATTCATAGCAGTGGCAAAATTACAGTCATGAAGTAGCAACGAAAATAATTTTATGGTTGGGGGTCACCACAGCATGAGGAACTGTATTAAAGGGTCGCGGCGTTGGGAAGGTTGAGAACCTCTGCTCTAGAGCATCACCATATTGGGAATCTCTGGAACAGCCCTGGGGAGCTCCGTAGAGGAGCGGTGGGGGAGGGGCGGGCCCTTCATTCCTGGAACATTCCATTCCAGCTGCTCAGACTAGTGGGGATCCCAGCCAAGGACAAAGACCCAAGGGAACCTCTGCTTCTCTGAGCCCCTTTCCACAGCAAACCCCAGGATAGTCCCGGAGGATACAGCTGTGGGAGGTTTGGGTGGGGTGGGGCAGCTTCTGGAAAAGGTAATTAAGGCTCTTGGCATTGTTCTTCCAGCTCCCCAGTGCCTCCACTTTATGGGTCTGGACTTCTGCATTCTGCTCCTTCTCTGGATACCGCCCTCAGGAAGACTTCCAGGATTGACTGTGCCCAGTCACCCTGGGCACCCTCGGCACCCTCCTCTCAGGAGCCCTTACAGTGGCAGGGGCCTGGGGCCTGGGAACTTGCTATACTCTGAGTTGCTTTCCATACACCGCATTTGACTTTGCTTATACGGGGACCTGTTACGTTGTCAGTTAGCCAAGAGTGCGGCACACATGGCCGGCTTTCTTTTTAAAGATAGACTCCTCATTCTTCAACAAGTCACAGTGTAGCTGGAGTCCCCATCATGACAAGTCACAGTGTAGCTGGAGCCCCCACCATCACTTTTATGTCCGTAGCTCCAGAAGGCCTACGTAAGGCAAGTCACTGGTGTGGGAACCCCCATTTCCCTCCCCACTGTGCGTGTCCTCCCCATGTGAGCGAGGACAGACATACCTGTGGCTCCTTGCAGACAATCAGCTGCAGCCTCCTAGGGGGACACCTCTTTCTCAGGATGAGGTGGTGGCAACCACGCTTCCAAGCAAAGTTAAATGCACAAAGGAAATCCACTTCACATATCCTGATGAGGGAAGGAGGCACATTTACTCACACACCGCCCGAAACTTATAGGCTTCTGTAGAGTGGCTGTATATCGACTCAGTCCCCAACTATATACACAGACAGGAAGAATAAATCTTAATAATATGAGGCTGAAACGTGTGGTTTTGGGGTTCATGCTGCCAGTGTCCTTGCGCCTTTCCTTTGGGTGGGTCATGCCTCTCTTCAGTTGACGGCTTCTGGAGGGCTTCTGTTTGGTTTGGCAGTCTGGGCTGGGGCTGGGCTTACAGACCTATTTGTCCCTTGACTTGGCTCAGAGCTGACCCTCAGGAAGTGTCTCCATTAACAAGGGTGTGATGAGGAAGCCCAGAGACGGAAGTGCATGTGAATGACCCCTGCAGAGGTTGGGATACTGTGGCGGTGGATGACGACAGCCTGTGTGAGACTGCCCATTGAGGTCTCCTCGGGAGATAGGTACATGAAACTGGGAAGAGCTTTTTTTTAAAAAAGGGACTCTTGCCGGGCGGTGGTGGCGCACGCCTTTAATCCCAGCACGCGGGAGGCAGAGCCAGGCAGATCTTTGTGAGTTCGAGGCCAGCCTGGTCTACAGAGCGAGATCCAGGAAAGGCGCAAAGCTACACAGAGAAACCCTGTCTCGAAAAACAACAAAAAAAAAGTGGTAAAAAAGGGATTCTACAGGTGAGGGATGTACCTAAGAAACTAATAAAGGGGAGCCAGGACTGGGGGCACATGGCTGTAATCCCAGCACTCAGACTGAGGCAGGAAGATGTGAGAATTTAAGGCTAGCCTGGGCTACACAGGAATACCCCATCTCAAAAAAAAAAAGACTGGAGATGTAACTTCAGTAATAAGATGTTTGTCTAGAATGTGGAAGGCCCTGGGTTCCCGAGGGAGTTGTGAAAATAATTGACAGGAATGGAAGCTCCCCACTGTTGGGCCTTCTGGAGGCAAGTGTTAAAGGTCGCTGCCATTGCTTGAGGGGTGTGAACCATGACAGCCTGAGAGGAAGGAGAAGAGTAAACACCCTCTCCTTTCTGGCTCCTGCTGGGGCCTGTCATTGTCAAGAAGAGCAGGAAACTGGGGAACAAGGGAGCCATTGATGCCGTCCAACAGCCTCCCCAGGGCCCTGAGCAGAAGGGTGGGTAGTGGATCTGGAGGGGCCAGCAGACCGTGTACCTGCCTGGGGGTCTCCATCACTGTGACTTTGGCCCTCTGATTTGTATGCTGGTAGGGAAGTGGAAGGTGGGTTGTTGCTGGTACAGCGGTTAAAGGACATACTCTCCCCTCAGCTGTCCTCTGATTCCAAATTCCTGTTGCCTACACATCCTAGCATCCCTAGATGGCGACAGGGAAGGTCCACAAGAACAATGTCAGGTACAGAGTGTTTTTCTCACACCCGGAAACAAGGCACCACACCCACAGGCTTACTGGTGCGCTGTTGCCACAACAGGTCCCAGACAGTCACCCCAAGCCATGACTACTGGCACAGATACATCAAGAAAATGTATGTCTTGCCACATTACTACACTCTGCCAGTCATACAGAAAATAGCCTGAGCCTTGCCACATAGGCACAGGAGACAGACTAGTTACCATCATTCATGTGGAATTACAGGGCAGGGGTGGGATGCAGCATCTTGAGTCTGACAAACCTCTGTGACCACTTTGGCCTCTGTTTGTCTCTAAGATGGAAATAATACTGTTCTCTGGAGTTGTTACAAGGATGCAACTCCAAGTGTTTGGGCATACCTAAGTATGGCCCCTGGCATGGAAGAAGTCATGCTAGATAGCTATTGCTATCAACTTTCCCCACCCCCCACCCCCACCCCACCCCCCACCCCGGAGCGCACTTCCTCACATCCATGCACGTGTGCGTACCGGCTCCAGAGAGTACCCACACCCACACAGGACCGGCCAGACATCCTCAGGCACACGTGCCCTCCTTCAGACATGCCTGCCAGGGCACGTGTACATTCACAGACAAGTTCCCTTGGCCCAGAACACTTTCTCCAGACAGCTACATGGCTCACTTCCCAGAACCTGTAAGTCTGTTCAATCAAATACCATCTTTCAATGAGGGGCACCTTGTCTGAATTAAAGTCCCTTGTTACATTTTTATGCATTGCTGACCTTCTAAGACCACACTGTTTACCTTATTAGGGTGTAACTGTCACAGGGTAGGGATCCTAAAACCCAGAACCATAACAGGCAAAACCCAGAACCATAACAGGCATACGGTTGAGCTCAGACAGTGCACGCACACCAAGACCAGGACCTCTGGGTCTCTCATCTGAACCAAGCACATCCGGGTGAACCCTCACCCCACCCCACTGAACCTGCTGTGCTTACACTGTTCCCAGCTCAGGTCCAGGCTCCTGATTGTGGCTAAATCAGGAGGTAGGATAAGTTGTCTCTCTCAGCCCCTTAGGTGACCACAGCTGCGTGGGGTAGGAAAGCCTTTTCAGTTGCCCTTCCAGCCATTTAGAGGCATGAGCAGAAGGAACTGAGGCACCTAGCCAAACCCACAGAGCAGGTGAGGACTCCCTCTGGTGACCCGGGGTCTCCTTTGCTGCCTTTTTTTTCCACCCTGACTGGAACTATCAAAGCCACCACTTCAGAGGAGCCTAATGAGGCTGAATATGTTAAAAAGCTTTGCCATCCCCAGATCAAAGAGGCAGGGTAAACAGTGGGCAGCGTTCAGAGGTGAGTGGCCAATGCCCTGAGGGAACAGCTCCCCAAAAGCTGGCACTGCTGGGTTCAGAGAGACCGCAGCCCCTCTCCAGGGGACCTATTTACAGGGACCTGTTTACAATGAGCTAAAGCTTGCTAGGGAGACCCTACATGGACTCTGGGTACCCTCCAAGTCCCCCAGCCTCAGTTTCCATTCCAGTTCAGATTCACCCTGCTTGCTTCCTGGGGAGACGGAGTGGGCAGACCTGCTCACCAAAGGCCAGTTTCAGGCTGGAGAGATGGATATATAAATCCCCTTGAACATGAGAGGTCTAGACTTGCTGAGGCAACATGGAGACCAGCCACACTCCCATATCTTAGCTGTCAGGCTGTGGACAGGAGGGACACTCCACAGCCACTCCTTGGCTCCTCCCACAATACGAGCCAAACAGACTGGGGAGGTAGTGCCACCCCCCTGTCACAGAGATCCTTACCCCAGGAGAAAGCGTACAGTTATGCTCAGTGTCGACAATTTTTATTGGCGGGAAGAGTGTGCAACACAGCAAATCTAGAGAAATGGGCAACGAGCCGGGGTGTGCCTCCCTCCCCATGTGAAAACCCTATAACCGAGCAAGTGAACCCAACAGCCTCCGACGTGTAAGTGTGCAGATGGCGGGGTTCCTGGGAGGTGTATGGGTTGCATCCTATCGTGGCTGTTTAGAACCTGTCCACTATATATATATCTCAGCACCTCAAGAAGTCCATATAAGTTGCAGGAGACTAAATTCCCATCCCTCCAAACACCCAGGGAGCTGCCTCATGCCTCAGTTGACCTCTTCCTAATGGTCAGCGAGGCTGGGCCACGAGGCTCTGAGTCATTCAGCTAGACCCCAAGTGAGTGTTCCTGTTACATGATGTCATATTTTAGCCAGTGTAGGGGCTTCTGGGTCCCTGTGGGCTGACCTCATCCTGGCCATGGAAATCCACCCAAGGTGTTGCTACTGAGACTGCCACCCAGCTGACTTTGTTCTTTCCAGGCAAGTAGCCTCAGTGACCCACGTCACGCAGGCCCAAGAGTGCGGTGCAATGACCAGACGGCCCTCCTGTCAAGAACCTGACTTGGCTCTAAGTCCATAGGAGCCTCATGCAGGAAAGGCCTGGGCTGTTCACAGGTCCAACCCTATAGTACTGGGCCAGCTGGCACAGGCAGCCTGTGTCTGGTCACATCCTCCACATAATATACCTGATGACCTTGCCCCACCCCCCATGAAGCTCCTTCCTTTCTGGCCAGGATCAGAGTCAGTTGCAAGGCAGCCAGGTGGGATAGGAGTGAGCCCGGGGCAGCAGAGGCTGCATGGGGGTCACGTAGTAATTAACAGTGGCTGGTACAACCCCATCAGAGCCTGGACGTCGCCAGGCCAAGGCAGCGGTGGCAGCAGGGCCCTGCTCAGCCAGCGCCTGGAGGGCTAGCATGGTGATGAGGTCCAGGGTCTGGCGGCGCTCGTGGCTCATGAGGCACACGGTACTCTCATTGACCACCTGGTGCAGCGTCACAAGGCAAGCATACCGGCGGGCGGCGTCTGCTCCGCCGAAGTGGGCCTCCAGGTAGCGCTCCAGAATGCGCCTCTGCTCCACCAGGTCCGGAAAGTCGATGAAGAAGCGGGAACACATGTATCGCTGTAGGGCGCGGACGTCAGTGCTGGGCCGTGGCCGGAAGCCCCGCACCAGGAGGTGGCAGTACTTGAGGAGGCCACCGCCACGGATCTCCTCAGGGCTGCGTGTGGCAATGACGCGGTGCTGCAGGTGCTCCAAGGCCTCGGCAAAGTCCCCGTAGAGGCTCTCGCCTGTCACGGTTGGGTGGAAGTCCTCTGACATTGGTGTGGAGGAGCACTGGCCGAAGAGCAGCAGGGAGTCCAGGATGATCTGGAAGGAGTCAACGCTAAATTCAAACTGGCGCCTCACGGAGTCCACGAACTTGAGTTCCACGTTCTTCCCACTCTTGTTGGATAGCGAGATGAGGCTCCAGCGGTCCAGGTCTGTGCATACTTTCACCAGCTTCTGCACATAGGCCTCCTTCAGTGTCAGTGGCGTGATCTTGGCCCGGCTCACTCCCACTGGCAAGAAGTCCAGCAGGCAAGCCAGGACCACTGCCTTGGTTAGCTGGAAGGATGCCTCACTCTGCAGGTCCATCTGGAACACCAGGTCCAGGTCCTTGTAGCCTAGGCCACTGTCCGGGTGCAGCACGTGGCTGGCGGCCGAGCCGTGCAGTCGAACGCTGTGCACATGCAATCCCTGTTCTTCCAGACTGCTGCGGACCACCTGCAGGGGACGGTGGGGGAAGGAAGAAGGTCAGGTGCCTGGGCCTCTCAGGTCTGCACCAAGGCCTTCCAGGATTAATCATCCTACCACCCATCACTGTGGACCTCTTACCAGCTTCTGTGTCTTTGTGAAGTCTTTTAACTTACAAAGCCTTGATTTGCCAATCTGGAGAAGGGCCCAGTTGAAAGGAATGACTCAGAAGAGCAATAAAAATAACAAATGCAAGCTGAGAACTTACTAAGCACTTTACATTAAAATACAACCTCACTTAATCTTCATAATAACCTGATGAGGCAAGGTATATTCCTGCTTCACAAGTTGGGAAATAGAAGCCCAGAGCAGCCTGAGAACTGTCCAAAGTCACACAGCTGGGAAATATAGAGCTGAGCTTTCAGTTGAGAGCCTAGGTCTTCGCACTGTACTACCCGACCTTCCTCACACAGCCAGGCAAACACTTGGTATGATGTCCGGCATTGCATGATGGGCTGGCCGCTTAGCACCCCTCATGCCTTCGCTCCTTACTCCCATGACAATCAGTTTTGAGGACTACTGCCCCAGTCAACAGATGAAGGGGTGTTAAAAAAAAAAAACAACAACAGCCGGGCGGTGGTGGCGCACGCCTTTAATCCCAGCACTCGGGAAGCAGAGTCAGGCGGATCTCTGTGAGTTCGAGGCCAGCCTGGGCTACCAAGTGAGTCCCAGGAAAGGCGCAAAGCTACAGAGAAACCCTGCCTGGAAAAAACAAAAAAAAAAACAAAAAAAAACCACGCCCAATTGCTGTAGAGTAGGCAGGCTAAGACCAGAACCCACGTTGGTTAGATTCACAAAAGTCCATCTATGTTCTCTTGAATTTTTAAAATTTTGATTTAATTTTATTTATCTTTTAATTTTTATTTATTTATTTATTTTTCTTTTCTTTTCTTTCTTTCTTTCTTTTTTTTTTTTTTTTTGAGACAGGGTCTCACTATGTAGCTCTGGCTGTCCTGGAACTCATTCTATAGACCAGGCTGGCCTTGAACTCAGAGATCTGCCTGCCTCTGTTTCCTGAGTGCTGGGAATCAAGAGGTGTTCCACCATGCCTGGCTATTTTTAAAAGATGTTACTTGTATTTTATGTATATGTGTGTTTTGCCTGCATATACACATGTGCTCCACCCATGGAGGCCAGAAGCGGGCTTCAGACTCTTGGAACTGGGGTTACAGGTGGTTGTGGGGCTGTCCTGTGGGTGCTGGGATAGAAGCCAGGTTCTCTGCAAGAGCAGCAAGTGCTCTTCACTGCTGGGCCTTCTCTCCAGCCCCGTTCGTTCTTTTGACTATGACATACATTTTTTTTTTTAAACAAAGAACCAGGGAAGCAAATCCTACACAAGCAGAGGCCATTCAGAAATGACTGGGCTGGGGGTGGCAGAGCAGGCTGAGGCAGGAGAATATGGAGGACTCCACCTGGAGCCCCAGGGTTGATGGCATGGGAACAGGACAGGGACACCTGTAAGTCTTCTGGAACTTGGTTCTTGGCTAGAGCCCTGGGCAGTGGCACTCGTGGGAGAGAAGTGAAGCTGGGGGTGAATACAGACATTTGGTTTCTCGGCAACCCCAAACCCTTCACACAGTGTCCTGAAAGTGACCAGGCAGCATTCCTGCCCTCGGTGACTCTGCAACCCCACCCCCTTGCCAAGCCAAGTCAGCGCGGGCTCTGGGGCAGGTTGTTCTCCAGCCTCCCAGGGAATTACTGCGAAGAATGCATGTAAATGCTGAGGAGGCAAGCTGCAGTGGGGCAATCTGAGGCGGGCGGCTCCCTCCAGGAAGACTTCCGGAAGGAGTTGTCATGGTAATGGGGGTGGGAAGGAAAGGACATTCAGCACAGGGTGGGAAAGGGAGGAGTACCACAGTCAGGTATTTAGTAAGCATCAGATGCAGGACCTCAGCAGAATCTGTGGTGGGGGAGGGGACTTGGGTGTGGCTCAGCTGCAGAGGGCATGCCTGAGATGTGTAGAGCTCTGGGCTCCATCTTCAGCACCAAAACCTAACCAAAGTAACCAATCAACCAAACAAGAATCTCCGGGGATAGATCTTCATGATCTCTATGTTATAGATGGAGAAACTTGGGTTCACAGGAATGAAGTCACATCCTTAAACCCAAGAATGGCCAATTCCAAGCCTGTCTGTTTGTTTTGCTGCTGAGTGAGGATTGAACCTGGAGGTCATGTATGCTAAACTCACTCTCTACAGCTGGCCCCTAGCCCCCAGCAGAGCCTGCTCGCTCTCTACCACATTCAGGCCCAGGCTTCAGAAGCAGCAGACTATACACTTGTGTTCTAATCTCGCCTTTTCAAAACTTCAGCTGGGCAGGGTGGAGAATGCCTGTAATCCTAGCACTTGGGAGGCAGGAGGATTACTGAGAGTTGGAGACCAACCTGGGATATATAGCAAGACCAGGTGTCAAAATTAAACCAATTTTTCTACATCTATCTATCTATCTATCTATCTATCTATCTATCTATCTATCTATCTCATATATATATACATACACATACATAACACATATGTGTGTGTATGTATGTATATATATATATATATATATATATATATATATATATTTTTTTTTTTTTTTTGAGATAGTGTTTCCGGTAGCCCAAGTTGGCCTCAAACTGGCTGAGTCTGGCTTTGAACTTGTAATCCTCCTACCTCCATTTCCTAAGTGATGGAAATGCAGGTACACCACCACACTTTTTTTTCCCTCTCAAAGTGAGAATGAATTACGAGGCCCAGCACTGTTGGTGGTGGGAAGGTAGGGGCTGGGGATGTATTTAAGCCAAGCAGGGCAGTTGCCTGCAGCCAGCATGTGATTCTTTCATTCCACACCTTGGCAACTGTCCCCAGCCAGCCACCAGGTGAGCTACCTGGGGCCTTAATGTCAACTCCTGCTCCCCAGCTGATGCCCACCCCAGGGCATGGCATCTGGCCAGGTGAATGAGTAGGCAGCAGTCCCCTCATTACACCCGCTGTGTCAGGGCCATGGGGCCAGCCGTGTCAGCCAACCACTGGCTGGTGTTTCTTTCCCAGGTGTGACTATTGCCAGTCTGACAGGCGGTCCCGGACACTGCCCCACCCAAGGACTTCAGGACGGCTTGCAGCCTCGGAGGGGGCAGTGACTGTAGCCTCCTTTCTCCTGTGCTGAGGCACCCGTTCCCCAAACTGCTCTGTCCAGTCTTCTGCTGAGACCGACCTTAGGAAGACGGAAGACTTGCAAAGCTTGCAAGAGCAAGTCCTCTGACTGCAGCTGGAGAGATCAGATTGTTTAGTTCATCTCTGGGCCCAGAGAAAGCAATTGACTTGTTCAAGGTCACAAAGACAGTGGGTGGCTGAGTTGAACGAGAACCTGGTCTCCAGAGCTGGAGAAGGGGCTCCTATAATGAGGAGGGTCCCTCTAGCCAGACACAAGCAAGGGTGTATTTTTCTAGCTGCTCAGATTGTTGCTGTAGAGAAGATTTGGTTGGGCATAGAGGTAGAAGGCTTCCCGTTCTTGAACCATGAGACAACTTAGCCCTGAAAGCTCCGCCCTTCCTCCCACCCCCAACATCCCAACAGCTTTTAAAGCTGCTCACTGTGGATCCCCACCAGGAGACAGACTGGCTGCATAGGCAGGTGAAGGCGCGTGTTCTCTCGGGAGTCTGGAACCAGCAAGGATATTGCTGAGTAGTTGAATCCATTTCCACTGCACAGATGGGGCTGCTAAGCCCAGCAGAGCAGTGAACCCGGACACCCGACTCTGGGTCTAGCCCTGAGGCCTCTGCCACCTCTCTACTCCACAGCCAACAGTTCCCTGTTCTGGGGTGTCCCTAGTTTAGGACATAGTTTAGAGCCATGAAATTGGCTCCCCCTGACTCCGTCTCCCTCACATGTCTAGGAGACGGCAGTTGGTGCCCAGTCACATTTATGCCCTTAGTGTCAGGTTAGATACTTGTTTCTGCAGAGGTGTGATCGATCACGCTGGGCACCACCTTTCCATCCCTTCATGCCTGGGATTATGGTATTTCCTCAAGAGAAAAACCAGCATAGTGGTGGCATGCACCTGTAATCCCAGCTACTCAGGAAGCTGGGGCAGGAGCAGCATTTGAGCCTACAAGTTTGAGAGGAGCCCAGGCAAAACAGAGGAAGATCCTATCTCAAAACAAGCCAAAGCGGGTTTACTAATAATCCAGACAACAGCGGGCAAGTGAGGAATGCTTTAGCCAGCTCCACTGAGACAGCCAGTGAGTCAGCCCAGGAGAATCTGTCTCCACCCCCTCCATCTCATTCCTTGTTCCTAGGAAGGGAGGGTAAGACCATCAGCCAGCAGCCACCCTCCCTCTGTTGGAGGCTATAGTAGCAGGGGGATGTCCAGTTTTACCTGGTTAGTGTGTAAAGCCCATAATTGGCAGTAACACACAGAAGCATCGCTAGACTCTTCTGGTTTCCATTTTGGAGACGCCCCTAAGATCTAGGTGTTGAGCTTGGGAGCCAGGGGAGAGGTGGGAAACTCTGGAACCTCAACCATCTGCTCCCGGGGAGCTCCAGGATTCCCTCAGCTTGATCTCCACCTCACAGGGTAGCCTTAGGTGGCTCACAGTCCCACCTGAGGCCTGAGCTAGAATGGCTATAGCCCCAAAGAGTAAGTTGAGGTCATATAGGGTTAAATAGAAGAAAAGCTGGACTTTGATGGAGGGAGCATTTGCCAGAACCTTCCCCCTCCTGATCGGGGATGGTGCTTTGGGGTCTGAACCTTGGACTGGCCTTCATTTCCAGTCTTAAGGGAGGAGGAACACCTAAAATGGAAATGTGATGCTATCTTCAAGGGTGGGGTCTCCGGTCTGGCCGAAGCACGTGGGAGGCAGGGAGTCTTCCCAAGGATTTCTGAGCTCTTTCTTGAGCCAAGGGCTGTGGGAACACAAGGACAGAGTGCCCTTAGGATCCTGGGGGTGCAGGAGGTCCAAGAATGTGGAGTAGAGGAAGAAAGCTATTTTGGAACCAAGCACAGATACTCCTCATTGGCGGAGGCTCGTATCTTTTGCCTTTGCTTGCAAGAAGGGACGATGCCCCATCTAGTGCTTTCCTAATCTCCCAGCCAGGGTCTTGGTGAGTGGTTCCCAGGGAAAAAGGAGTCCCCAAGACTGTGGACAGGAAAGCTCAATAGGGTGCAGGAAGAGCAGAGCTGGTAGCTCCGGTTCCCGTTCCTTGGATTCCCTAGTTGCCGAGCCAGTCGCAGGCTCCAGGTGTCTTGCGGCAGGGCATCGCCCGCCCCCTCCCCCGACCCTGCCTGCCAGCGCCCCCTCACCTGCACGATCTGCCGGGGCTGCACGCTCAGCGTGGGGAAGTTGCCGCGCCCGTGAATGGGGATCGGCTCGCTCAGCAGCGCGTCCAGCCGCTTCACCTGTGGCCAGCTCAGTCGGCTCTGGTGCCGTCCCGGAGAGGCCGAGGAGGCCTCCGGGTCCGGGCCGCCGCCGGCCGCCCCAGCCGTGGCCACTGCCGAGGCCGCATCCATCCCCACCTGCGCAGCTGGCCGCTCCAGGCTCTCAACTCCACTCTCCGACGGCATCATTCGCCCGGCCCCGGCGCCCCGACGGCAGAAACCCGGGAATGGTTAAAGGCGAGGAGAGCAGTGAGAGCGGCGGCGCACCGGCCGAGGCTGGGGGCGGGGTGCGGGGACCCGGCGGCGGCGAGGCAAACCCAGGGGACACCTCCGACGGCGGCTAGGACTAACAGACCTTAGAGCCAGGTGGCGGTGGCCCAGCTGACTCTTATAGGCAACGGGCCGCACTCCCATTGGTCGGCACAGCTGTCACACAGCGGGAGCCGCCCCGCCTCCCATCCCACCCCCTACCATTGGCCAACAGAGTTTCGCACAGACGTGCGGGCTCCCAGGGATTCTGATTGGTTGGAAGGCACGCCCCTTCCCCGCCCCCTCTCTCGGGCTGAACTCCCTCCTTTGGGCTTTAAAGAACTTCTGCAGCACGCGATTGGCTCCAGCCTGCCGGGACTTAGAGAGACAGCGCCCTCCAGCGGCAGGAGGAGGGAGGTCTCTGTAGAGTAATGTTGCAGTGTTTAATGAGACGGCTGCTTCCTAATTTATTGCCTTGATTGGCCCTTCGAACCACAGCATGCCTGCCGTACATGTTCCATTTTAGGTGAGGTGAAATCTGCTCAGAGAGGGCGTTATTAGCAATCATCGCATAGTGTGTGAGTGTCCGTTATGGTCCTCCTCATGGAGGTGTAAAAAGTCAGTGCAGCATCCTCTCTCCGCCTTTCTGGGATAGATATTTCTGTTTTTCCTCTCTCTCTCTTTGCAGATCATAGAGGCTGAGACTTATTGCTACTTTTGAATTTGCTCACTTTGTTTTTCAGATTTTAAATATAAGTGTCGTGGGGAGGAGGAAGAATCGTAATCGAGTCACCCTGATTCATAACTTCAGTGTTTTTTCTTCTCATTCCCCTAATAATACAACAAATTCCATATCCTCCCATCCTCCTATAAGGCAGGCTGAGGAGTAACGTGACATTGAAGGAGGAATCAGGACTTAGAAGCAGCTACTACATCCCAGGGTCTGACAGGACACGGCTTGGCCCGCCTCAGACCAGAACACACATTTCTTCTTCCCGGAAGCCAGCCCCACCACCATGCTGCCCTTGGTTTCCTCTCTGGGAAACCCCGAGAGAAGGCACCATGTGCTCGGCTGGAAGAGTCTGAGTTCTTGTATTCTTCCCAGTGAAGTCGGTTGCTATTTTAACATTTTTTTTTACATTTATTTACTCTTTTATTTATTTATTTTTTGTTATTTTATATTTTGGAGACAGGGTCTCATTAGCAGATCTGTAACTCACTATGTAGATCAGGCTGCCCTTGAACTCAGATCTGCTGGCCTCGAACTCAGAAATCTGCCTGCCTCTGCCTTCCAAGTGCTGGAATTAAAGGCTTGCACCCCCACCATTCCTTACATTTCTTTACTGTATATAAATGGGGGGGGGTGGGTATCCAGGGATCAAATTTAAGTTCTCAGCCTTGGTGACAAGGCCCTTTACTCCCTGAGACATCTTTTCTTGGTTTGCTTGGTTGGTTTTTTGAGACAGTTTCTCTGTGTAGTCCTGGCTGTCCTGGAACTCACTCTGTAGACCAGGCTGGCCTGGAACTCGCAGAGATCCACCTGCCTCTGCCTCACAAGTGCTGGGATTAAAGGCGTGTGCCTTCACCACCTGGATCCCTAAGTCATCTTGACAGCCCATTATTTTGTTATATATACTTTTTTTTTTTTTTTTTTTTTTTTTTTAAAGATTTATTTATTTATTATGTATACAATGTTCTGTCTGCATGCATCCCTGCAGGCCAGAAGAGGGAGCCAGATCTCATTACAGATGGTTGTGAGCCACCATGTGGTTGCTGGGAATCGAACTCAGGACCTCTGGAAGAACAGCCGGTGTTCTTAACCTCTGAGCCATCTCTCCAGCCCTATATATACTTTTGATGGACACAAACAGATAAAGGGATGGGTGTGACTGGATTGGTAGGAGTCATGTCTAGCATGTATGAAGCCCCGAGTTTGATCCCTGAACTGTATAAACTAGGCATGTAATCCCAGCCTCCCAGAGAGGGTTAGAAGCTCAAGGTTACTCATATTGAGTTCTGGGTCAGCCAGGGCTACATAGTGAGACCTTATCTTCTTCTGCTTCTTCCTTCCTTCCTTCCTTCCTTCCTTCCTTCCTTCCTCCCTCCCTCCCTCCCTCCCTCCTCCTCCTCCTCCTCCTCCTCCTCCTCCTCCTCCTCCTCCTCCTCCTGGCTTCTTCTTCCTTTTCTTTTCTCTTTTTTTGGATTTTTGAGACAGTTGCTGTCCTGGAACTCACTCTATAGACCAGGCTGGCCTCGAACTCACAGAGATCCGCCTGCCTCTGCCTCCCAAGTGCTGGGATTAAAGGTGTGCACCACCGCCACCACGCCGCAAACCTGTCTTCAAAAAATAATAATAATAAAGGAGAGCTGGAGATGTAGCTCAGTGACCGATTGCCTGCCTAGCATGCTGGAAGCCCAGGCTTCAACCTCTAGTGCCACAGAAGGGGAAAGTAAAGGTGAGCTCCTTTGGCTGAGTTATCTCTGAACCCTGGGCTCACCGAACCCCCTGAGGCCACTGATGAAAGCGTTTGAGGTCCAGCCATAACGCTCTCCTGCCTAGGGATTTGGCTCAGTGGCTCAGAATACTTGCCTAGTGTGTGCAAGGGCTGGGATCTAATCCCCAAGCACCAAAACCAAAACCAAACACCCCTAAAGCCCACAGCATAGCACTGTCACTCACTTTCTCTCATATCCCAGTAGAAGAGGGGGGAGAGAATTAACATTTCTAAACCTCTACTATGCACCAAATCATAATACATATGTGACTATTCATTCCCGAAAATATGCCTCAGCAGGTGAGCTCATTCCTCTAGATAGGCAGATGAAGAAACTATGGTTCCAGAGGTCAAGTGATGTGCCCAAAGTCATACAACCACTAATTGGCAGTATAGGGCCTGAATTCAGGCCTCCTGATTATGTTTCCAGCCCCTCCTCTTAGAAGTCGGCACAGGTCACAGGGTCAAGACTGGCACAGCCCTGGCACCACCCACAACACCCATTCATCCATTTATTCATTCTTTTTTTATACAGTTTTGTTTTGTTTTTGGTTTTTCGAGACAGGGTTTCTCTGTGTAGTTTTGGTGCCTGCCCTGGATCTCGCTCTGTAGCCCAGGCTGGCCTCAAATTCACAGAGATCCGCTTGGTTCTGCCTCCCGAGTGTGGGATTAAAGGCGTGCGCCACCACCGCTCGACTCATTTATTCATTCTTTAGTCAACATATGCTCACAGGGAACCTACTAGGTACCAGGTGCTAGGCTGGATCCAGAGATGGGGCAGGCAAAGTCCTTGTCCTTCTAGAACTTTTGACTGTAGAAAGACAACAGAGAAATAAACAAGACATGTCAGATGGCAGGCTGAGATAAAATAAATAGGGCCACAGGAGAGAACAAAGGAGAGGTGTGGGGAGTTGAAATGCTTGACCAGGGGCAGCCTCTTGGCATGGTGTATCTCTGCCGGGCCCCCTTCTGCCCTCTCTCTCCGTGTTTGACCCTGAATAGCCAGGGCAGCCAGAGAGATACCAGGCCGCGTAGTCCTAGCAGCCTGAAGGGCCAGCTAAGCAGGCTGTTGGCGTTCACTGTCTTGGTCTTTTCAACTTTATAAATGGAGAAAGTGGGGTATAGAGAGCAGGCGGGATTGGCCCCAGGTGGACCAGCTAGGCTGAAAATCAGTGGGGGACAAGCCAGAGTCGGGCCCCTCTTACACGCTTGATCAAGTTTTCCAAGGAAATCCGAATCTTTTTTTGTCTGTCTCCTTCCTTCTAGGGAAGAGCAATTAGCCAACACTTGTGCTATGAATCACCCTTCTGTCCACACTTCCATCTGCAAAGCTGATGCCTTCCATGTTTGCCCAGTGGGGCTAGGGGTGACCTGGGGAATGTAGGAAGCCAGGAGAGAGAACACAGGTGTGCCCAGTAAGAGCGTTTGTTTCCACTAGAACCAGCTTTGAAGTATCCCAGTGAATGGAGAGAATGCACTCTGGGTGCATCTCAAGTCCAGTCGGCTTCAGGATGGGGTAGGTGAGCCTCCACCAGGTACTTGTACACATTTCCCTTCTTAATTATGACTCCAGCTGATTTTAAAAGGGAACTGTTCTCTGTGATAATGGAGCCATAGTGATAAAAAGCAATCTCTTCGCCTGTCTGGACCCCAGCTTCTTATTCTGTGAGATGGGGTGAAGTAGGGGCAGGCTCTCCCGTTCATACCATCTCATTTGAGGACTGGAAGGGAGAGGCTGGATTGCTACAGTGGCACCCCAGAAGAAAGCATTCTGGGAACTGATGTGTGGCTACTTGGTAAAGGAAAACGAGGCCAGAGAAAGGAAGTCATTTGTGCGGGGCCTCAGAGATGGAAAGAGAGACTTGATACCCAGGTCTGTCTGAACCCCAGGCTTAAGTCCTAATGACGACCTCACCTGGGAGGGTGACTTTGGGAAGCCAAATTACACACAGGTGATCCCACAGCGGCGGCGGCTCACCCATCCCCTCTTCCTGTGGCTCTTGGCCTCCAGCCTACTTCATGTCCTCATGGCCAAGGTAATGAACATTGTCATTACAGGTAATTGTGCCTCTACACTGCACACTGTTGATACCAACCTCGCCTCTCATCCCTTCTGTTTACACATACAACCCCAACGCCATCAGCTTCTTCACCCACCAGGTCCTTCAATCCACTGATCCTCTTTTCTCTCACTGTTCCTGGACTCCATCACATCCTTGATTTCCCCCCTTAACCAGCTCAGAGTCCGTGACCATCGCTGTAATTACTCCGCCGCGTACACCCTCAACCCCCTTGTTCCCCCGATCATTAAATCGCCTGCACCTGGCAAAACCACACCCTGACTAATCCTCCACAGCTGACGGGGGCTCAGAGGGACACAGCCCTGCTGACCTCACTTCAACACTGGACCCACCACCTACCATGTGACTCAGGCATTGTTCTCTCCAGTCCTAGAGAACAGGGTCGGGCCTTGTTTCTCCCCAACTCCAGCTTCTCCTCCTGTGTCCTCTTCTCAGGGGATGACCCTGCTTCTCGCTTCCCTAGGAAAAGAGACCAATCCCGTGGATATTTCCTTCCACCCTCAACACCTGTTCCACCCATCCCAGCCTCTGTGCGTGGGTTCAGCCTCCCTTCCTGCTGCACGGATGCACCTGTTCGCTCCTCCCCTGAGCATCCCGGGCCCCTTCTTCTCACCTGTGGCAGGACTTTCCTCCACTGACTTCCCCTCTCTCATTGACTGGATCGTTCTAATCTGCATTAAGACATAATTCCCAAAGAGTTGGGGTGTGGTGGTACATGCCTGTGATCCCAGTATGAGGGAGACATTTGGTTTCACCTCTTCACCTAAACTGTCGGGGTTAAGGTCACATTGCTAAATCTAATCCTCAATATTCTTTCTTACCTCCCCCTCTCCTTTTTTTTCTTTTTGGTTTTTCGAGACAGGGTTTCTCTTGCTGTCCTGGATCTCGCTCTGTAGACCAGGCTGGCCTTGAACTCACAGAGATCTGCCTGCCTCTGTCTCCCAAGTGCTGGGATTAAAGGCAGCCTCAGGCCCGGACAAACGTCAGGATGCAGCAGGGGGAAGAGGAAAGGGTGCTGAAGAACGAACCCAGAGCCCGCAGGCACGGATTGGAGGGCGTCAATGGACACCTGGACCCCTCATGGAGCAATGCCACATCCCAGGTCACGGGGGCCTGATTATCCGCTTCCCTTCTCCTCTTAGCTTCAGTTGTGGGGCAGCATCAGGGAAAGCAGGGGCAAAATCTGAGTCTCCTTTGGCCACTTTGGCATTTTCTAGAAACATTTCTCCACACGTGCTTTTTCAAATTGCACCAGGCATCATGGAGCACGCCTTTAATCCCAATACCCACTCAAGAGGTAGAGGCAGGCGGATCTCTGGGAGTTCAAGGCCAGTCTAGTCTATATAGTGAGTTCTAGGCCAGATAGAGCTATAGAGGGAGGCCCTGTTTCAAAACAAAACAGAACAGAACCTGAAACCAACAATAGAAAACACCACAAAATTAGACTGTCCTTTTACTCAGCCGTGGCTTCTGGATAGCACTGGAATATAAATCCTTTTAGTTTGGACTGCAAAGTTCTGGATTCATCTCAGGGACATTTCTGTGTGAGTAGTGTCTTGAGTTGCATGTCACATGTCAAGGCTAGCCAAGCTGTCTTCATCTAGATAATATGGCAGACTCCGGACGATGACATAGATGCTCATGCCACCAGGGCCTGCAGGGCACACCCCTGCCAGAGTGTCTTCGGGATGACAGCTCATTAAAGGAATGATCTCCTTTAGCTTGAGACTTGGGGGTGCTGTTCCATCTAGTCCCTGCAGAAGTGACTGTCAGCTGCATGGATTTCAGACTGCTCTTCGGCCACTTGACAGTAAGATATACAGCCTGGGCGGTAGCACGGCCACCTAAGGCAAGGATAGAGCATAGGTCTTGTCCCTTCCCTAGCCTGTGACAGCCTTTCCCATCAGTATGCTCCAAGTCTGCCAAGGCGGGCATTACCACTTGACCACAGATCCTCCCTCCCTCCCTCCCTCCCTCCCTCCCTCCCTCCCTTCCCCCCTCCCTCCCTTCTTCCCTCCCTTCCATTATGTTTTTTGAGACAAGGTTTCTCTGTGTAGC